TATTTGTGTAGTCAGAAAAATGAACACCTTTTAAAGAAAAGAAGACCACTAAAGGTGTTTAAATAATCTAACATAAAATATGATACCGCACTGAACTATGCTTCTTTTGGTGTTTTCATCTTTGATTTTTACACTTCCAGCCAATGGCCCAGGGAGGCAAGCTGGGAGCTTAGGAGCGAGGATAGAGAGAGCCTGTGAAGTTGTGCAGAAACTAAGACATGGGTTCTCTCAGGATAGGCATGGAATGGGGTGGAGCCTGTGAACGTCAGTGTCAGATCCCTGCCCTGACTGCAGATCCTTCTCTTCTATGCTGATTTTTTTTTAAAGGATAAACCTTGCAGATCGTGGGTTTTTATTTCATTTAGAGAGGAGCTATTCCCAAGTAGACCTAGCCAACACAAGTGCTACAGCCAAGCACCTCGAGGGTACAGAAGTTGAGGAGGCGGTGGAACTAGACAAGCTGCTCTATAAAGAACCCAAGGCTCATGTTTGCACAATCAGCTTACAAGTCACCTTCAGAACCACAGCAATGAAGGCTAGCCCTTGCCTCCTTCCTTTTCTTTTTGGTTTAAGATACCTTTGTAGGCTCGGTGCCTATAGCTCAACCGGCTAAGGCGCCAGCCACGTACACCTAAGGTGGCGGGTTCGAATCCCCAGCCCGGACCCGCCAAACAACAATGACGGCTGCAACCAAAAAATAGCCGGGCGTTGTGGCGGGCGCCTGTGGTCCCAGCTACTTGGGAGGCGGAGGCAGGAGACTCGCTTGAGCCCAGGAGTTGGAGGTTGCTGTGAGCTGTAATGCCACGGCACTCTACCCAGGGGGACAGCTTGAGGCTCTGTCTCAAAAAAAAAAAAAAAAAAGATACCTTTGTAACGTCTTTTCAAGGCTGACCTTCTTTTAATCTGATTTCCATCTACATGAAAATTTCCAGCCATATAAGGGGAGGTAAAAAAAATAATAATAATACAAAAAATATGATGAGCTACAAGTGCAACCGCATATCGCCTTGGTGTAGATGTGCTCGGCTCCTACAAAGAGGACTGCCGATGCCACGCAACTGTGACCGTGGGCACAAAGCCTTACAGAAGAGGGGCCAAAGCAGTTGTTGCTTTGTCAAAACAAAAGATTTGCAACCAAAAGCAGATCTGAACCATTAGACTGAGAAACCAAGAATAAGAACCCTCCTCTTCATTACTTGCCTTGGTCTTTTTATTTAGTCAGTCCATCAGCAAACATTCGCAATTGAGCTTATATCTGACACAGTTTCAGATACTGGCAAATCAGCCAGGACCAAAATTTACAAAACTCTGTGTCTTCATTCTACAAAAACCTATGGCTCATTGCCTCGTCAAACATGTTCTGAAAGTTTACTCTGTTCAAAATGTCATGCGAAGGGTTAGGATCAAAAAGACAGACATTCTAACCTGGAGTCAAGTATGGTCAACTACCCTAAACCCTTGAGAATCGCTAGTGGTCCCCTTCTGAATCACTTCAAATTTTCAGATGTCTCAGCAATAAAGGAATCCAGCTTTTGGTGTCAAGCAGACCTAAGCTTTGTTCACTGCTGGCTCTCCAGTGCCTAGCAGAGTACCGACACATGTAGACACTCAACTTAGAGATGTTTTATTGCAGTTGTACAATATTAGGCAAACTGCTAAGTCTTGATGAGGCTACATTTTTCATGTAAAATGAGAATAATTAATTATGGTTTTCCCAATTAATAATACTTTAATTCTCCTTTGGTATTCTTTAATTAAATCTTTTTTCTTAAGAATTACTGTTCAGGAAAAAATTTAAATGTTCTTTCTGGTTTTTTCCATTTGTTAACATTAGAAAGATGTGATTTCTTCTTATTTTTCATTCAAAGATTCGCTATTTCTAGCTGTAGGTTAAAACAGGATTTTATAAGTTGGCTCATCTGGGACTTCAGCTTTTATGGAATTGGCTGTGTATCCCACACAATTAATTTGTACAAACTTCTGGAACAGAACTCCTGAGATTTTAGATGAATTAAAGATGAAAACTGTATATCTATTCTTCTTTTCTATTCCTTTGATGGAAATTTTGTAAGATAAAATTCGTGCGGCATCTCAGGAATCACTTAGTGTGACTGTTTTAATGGGTTGGTCTGACACCTTGACTCCATCCTCACAGACACCTGAACTTGTTTTTATAAACAGACCCAGGGGATTTCTCATTTGCAGAGTATGAGCTCTGTGACTCACCTTTTTAAAACTAACTGGGGAGTCACGTGCAGATAACATTCCTCTCAGGTTTGTCTTCCTGGGTTAGCAAAATCATTGCCTTTACTGCCTGACTTTTTAACACCACATTTTAAATATTAAAAACCATTTCCGCGTTCCCAAAGTGACTACGCGCATTAATTAATTTTATAGGAAAATGTCGCCATCTGGTGGACTTTGGAGCTCAGAAAGTGTTTGTAAGCCAACCCCTGCCTTGCTCATGTGCTGGTTCCTCTGGGCCTGGTTCTCTTCTACTGGTTGAGTGCCCACCGGAAGGAGAAAGCCAGGGAGCCAGGACAGGGTGTGGAGGGAGCAAGTGACCACACTTGTTAGACTGTGCTGGGTGAAGGGTGAATAAGAGACACATACCCTAAGTACTGAGGGAAAGCCAGTCAGGGTCCGAATGAGGCTGGAACAAGTTTTAGGATCAAGAGCCAAGCCAAACTCATCTCTGAGATCTCAGAAGGAAGGGTGTTTAGACCCAAAGGTCCATGTGCAGAGGCCACTCCAGGATGAAACAGAAAGCTAAAGTGTGCCGGTTGGAGATTGAGGTTCAAGACATTGAAAACCAAATAGTCAAAATAGCGTCTCAAAATCCAGAATAAGGTGGCAGTCTCCCCACTCTACGGTATACCTCTACATTCCCTGCTTACTGATAGACAGCTGTGACACAGCTTACCCCCAATCTAGTGCTCTTTCTCTGACAGCGTGAATTTATTCCCTTTTTATTTGTCCACTCTGTATTGTTTCTTTGTTCCCCCCCTTCCAACCTTCCTGTTATTTGAATATATTTTAGAAATCCATTTTAATTATCTGTTACCTTTTTAGTTATATCACTGTGCTGTATTTTTTTTTTTTTACTGGATCTGTAGAATTACATATACATCCTTAATTTTTCACATTCTACTTAGAGTCAAGATTATTCCACGGAAAATTGTAAAAAACCTTGTAACTGTATGGGTTCGTTTGCTCCATCCACCCCCAACCCACCAACGTCTTTCCATGTTCTAGTTGTCACAGGTTTTACAACTAGATACATTATAAACCCCACAAGAGAAGGTTGTAATTTTTATTTTAAACAGTCATGTATTTTTTAAATTAAAAGTAAAATTAGTCCTATTTTACATTTATCCAGATATTTACTATTTCTGGTATTCTTCATTCGTTCCCTTGGTAGGAAGGAAATCAGAGGGGTGAAAAGAATGTTGGCCACCTAAATTATTGTTCTCCTGGCTCAGCACCTGTAGCTCAACCGGCTAAGGCGC